GAGGTGAGCTGCTGCATCACGGAGCTGAAGGTGCCGGTGAGGCCAACGGTGAGTTGGCTCAGCTCTGCTCTGATTGCCTGCACGTCTGCCTTCAGCCCATCCTCCAGCGCCTGCAGCATCATATTCTCCTTCATCTGTGAGTTCTCCAGCATGATGAAGAGCTTGTCCCACTCCGTGTGCTCCCGCTGGCAGTCACACGAGGCAGCTGCAAGGCAAGACACGGATGTAGGTTTAAATAGAAGGAGTGTTTCCCGAAATCTGCCTCTGTGCAAGGCTTCAGCCTGCCCCTGCATTTATGTCTGTATCAAAGCAGAAGGCAAAGCAGTGCCCAGTACAGCAATCCTAAAACCAAGTGGCATCCACCGTCCGTTGCAGGAAAACAGAAAAGTAGTGCGCAGCAAACTGCAGCACGCCATCCCAGTACCCGAGCATTGCCGTCTGCAATAACCCACTGCTACAAGCACATGGTTCCTCTTAAAATAATGCTTGTGGCTGTTACAAGAGCTAAGCAACAAAGAACGCAGCGCTGCGCTGTAGATGGTATCTACTTACATTCCTCAGTGCCCAGAACTGGACCTTCGATTTCGTTATCCAGATTCACATACATGAGATCGTAGTCGTCGTCTTCATCCAGCACAGAAGCAGAAGCCCTGAAAACACAGAACAGCATGAGCAGAGAAAGCACTCCTCCAGGCAGCATTCTGCAGCTGCTTCCTGCAAATAGCCAGGCTGGGGCTGGGCTGGAGTGGGACTGCAGCAGGGACTGCGAGGAGCCACGGGCAGCCCCTAATAAATGCTCCGAGTGTCTCAGCTTGAATGAATGAGCGCTGCGAGTGCCAGCGCTGTAATAGGAGCACTTCTGGTTGTTGGTTTTGGCAGTGAGGAGCAGGGGGCGTGCAGCTTGCTTAATGTCAGCCCCCAGGTCTGCATGTGGGGGTGGGGGGGGAGGATGGGGAGAGCTGCTCCGCACGCTGCTGCTTCCCCTGGAGCAGAGTGCCAGAAATGCGCAGCGTTGGGTGGGAGCTGGGAGAGGGACTGCTGCCTGAGCTGCATCACTTGGGCTGCTCTGTGCTCTTTGTGCAAACTCCGTTGGCAGTTGGTATGTGCTGTGGTTACGGAGGGGGCTGGCAGGAAAACACAGCTACCTGGAGCTGGTTTGGGTGCGTGTGTCTGGTGTAACCTATATGCTGTGGCTTTGGGGGCTGTTTTCTTCAGAAACTTCTGCTGCCCTGGTAGTTTGAGCAGCAAAGGAGAGCTTGTAAAATAAAGGCAGCTTGTTGGGTTTTTACTTTTCTAGCCCAAATTAGCAATAGCAACTTTGTATCCATTCGGGTAATGTGTTCCGTCTAGTTTCTTCCTTCGGGAGCCCACAGGTTAGCAGCTGCACGATTAGGATTGTGTCTGTTAACATGGAGAAAAACAAAATGAGAGACTGTGGGGTTAGGTGTTAATCTGGTGCCAAGTCCTACTGTTGCTGGTGTTGATCACTTTTAAGTGCTGGAGAGTGTATCAGTTTAATGAGCCTCGGGTTACTCCAGCATTGAGATTAAGGGTAGCACTCTGATGGTACAAATTATATATTGGCCACAAAATATTCAGAGAACAGGATACAAAAGCAAACAGAGCTGCATCTCATTTGTAATCTGTTGTTCCCTTTCTGGTTAGACTCTCCAGGAGAGGCTGGTGCTTCCCTTAGTGCTTGCCAGCCCTGCTCCTCCAGCACGCAGCCGATAGCACGGGAGTGGGACAAGTGTCCGTGGGAGGGTTAGCAGAGGTGCATGCGGCCTCAGCAGCTGTCCCTTGGGTTTGGAAGGCTGGAACTAACTGATCTTTGAGGTCCCTTCCAACCCAAGCCATTCTGTCATTCTATGACCATGTGCTGCTGTGCTGCTCTGCTCACAACATACCCACAGAGTGCTATGGGAGTTGTTCTCCTACAAGCTCTGTGCTGCTGGGCTCGGGCAGAGCAGAGGCAGCACACAGAGCCTTTCATAGAATCATCGTGGTTGGCTCTTTTGGAGAAGAAATCTTTCCTAATATCCAACCTCTGTGGCTCTTTGCACATGCAGGTACACTGGTTGTGAGCATGCAGCGTGGCCCTGGGCTGCAGGGCTGTGTTTTGCCTTTTGGTGCCTCTGCCCCACCTGACTTGCAGCCAGCAGCGCTCAGCCATCGGATGTCCCCAACTGTACATTGCTTTGTACTGAAATTGCCTAATTCCCAGTGTGTGGTCTGCCTGGAACGCCTGGAAAAGTCTGATCTGGAAAGCATTGGGGATAATGGTAGCAGGGGAGGAAGAGGGAGAGAAGATGATTAAGGAGTGGAGTGTCGCATTTTTCCATTCTCAGACAGCAAATGTACGTTTCAAGCTCTTCGTTTAGGCTGAGCTGCTTGGGAATGGGCAGGGTGTCACCTCCAAGCTCTGAGCAGGCAGAAGGTTGGTGGTGGCTGCGTGTGGGTGAATCATATGGAAGCTGGAAAGGGCTGGCAGCTGTTGAGGTGTGCTGGGAGCTGACAGGAAACACGCAGACATGAAAATGTGGGGGATGGAGCTGTGCTTCGTGACCCTTCTGGAGTTATACAAAGAACAGACACAAATTATGGTTTCTGCTTGGGTTGTTTACAGGTTTGTATATACAGGTTATCCAATTAAAAAGAATTCCATATCAGTGAGGTCACTGAAATACGGCTTCAATGCAGTGGGGTTGCCTGCAGTTTGCCCTTGCCTTTCATTCATCCTGCTTTGTGACTGCGAACCCAGTAATGTTTGTTGTACGGTGACTGGACAAGATGCCCAATTTACTTTTGTTCCAAGTATTTTAATACAAGTGGCTGCAATCCAGCACGTTGTGTCATGCTGAGTTATGTCCCCCTTCTGATGCATCCGATAAAATGGTGCTAAATTTAAATTGGTGCTTTTCTCAAATTGAATAGTTAGTCTGAGTTTCCAGGTGTCCATGATGTCCCAGCACAGGCAGTAGCACATCTCAGATGCTACTTCTTATCTGTCTCTGAAGAATTTCCCTCCATGCTCTTACAGTTGAGAACTTTGCTTGTCCAGGGCAGAGGGAATTTCATCTTTTGCTGAGATGTGAGTGAAGCTTAAGGCATCTGTTCTACGTGGACAGAAAACCTCCAGTGGAAGCTAAGCACGTGCAAGTGCCAAAAAGGCTTAATTCTGCAAACACATTATCCAGAGAAGGAAATAATTTTCAGTATATTTGCTTATAAAACTGTTCAATTTCAAACTCAAATGAGAAACTAGAAAACCTTAATTTGAACTTTGGGCAAATTGGTGCTTTGCTGGTTACTTTTGGTTACTTTTGGTTGCTTTTGGTTAGTTTGGGTTACTTTTTCTGGTTAGTTTAAGAAAAAGAACCGATCAAATCTTTGCTGAATATACAAATTAAAAAGGCACTTTCAAAAGAACCTCTGTGACACAGGAGTGTTGATCCCATGGTAAAACAGTGGTACTCGTGCCCCTTAATTACTGCACAATCCCACTTGTAGCATGGGGGAGGTGTGGGGAGAGCAGCCAGAACTGAACTGCTGCTGACCTGCCTGGGGTAACTATCAGCAAATCTCCTTCATTTGCAGCTGGCTTTGTGCTCCATTCATGGAACAGCACAGGAATTGCCCATGGCCCCGGGGACAGAGGTGGGGCTGGAGTTGTGGTGGTTGTGTGCAGGGCCCTGGGAGAAGCCAGCAGCTCTAGGAGCAGCAAAGTGCTTTGGGGTCAGATGCAGAGAGTGCCTGAGCAGTGCAGAAGCGCTCCCAGGGCTGAGGTACTCTGAAGGGCTCTAGCTGGGTGCTTTTGGAGCCTACAATGAATTGCATTTCAGCTACTTGGCTCAGAGGTGGTGTTGCAAAGCTTGTGTTGCTCTTCATGTATCTGGCATGAGCCAGATGGTCAGGTCTGACACATAGGTCCTCTTTCTGCCACCTGGGAACTGAGCTGCTTCTCTTGCAAAATTATAGGGCTTGGGTTTAAGTGGAAGAAAAAGCAGCAGGCCAAAGTGCTAGTTCCTATTGGAAACCAAATTCAAGGGGACCTTAAGGACTTGTACAAAAAGAAGCCATGCTACATTGCAATAGGCAGATGTTTTCCATATGTTGTTCGAGTGAGACTTAAATATATTTGAAGCAGGCATGTACAGCGATGTGAAGTTATATATTTTGGTATGAGCCTGGGCTTCAAACTGAATTATGCGCAGACATCTTAAGAAAATGTGTGAGAGAGGGTTTTGCATATCTGAGTCTGTCTACAGTTGACTTTCTCTGGCTCCTTTCTATTCCTGGAAATGGCATCCTTAACTATTTATGTTCAAATTTACTGTCATGCACATTTAGCTCTCTTAATAACCAATTATTCTTTCCATATGCTGCTTATTTAATTTGAAAGTCTGAACCTCAGAGAAGGAAAAATACAGCTTTTATGTGCTTTCTAGCCTTCTTTGTTTTTTGTTTTTTTAAATCCATTTAAATCACAAGTGTTGAGTGTAGGACTCAATGGAGTATGATCCAAATCTGAAAGCTTGCAAGCAACCCTCTCCTGGTATTGTGTTGGGAATGAAAATCATAATGAATAGGAAATAACTTTATATGCATTGTTATACCTGCTGTGATTTGCTCCATTTGGGCCACGTACTGGGCTCCTTGGGCCAGCCCACAGAAACCAGAAGCTCAGGGAGTGGTGGCACTGGAACAGGTTGCCCAAGGAGGCTGTGGATGCCCCATCCCTGCAGGCATTCAAGGCCAGGCTGGATGTGGCTCTGGGCAGCCTGGCTGCTGGTTGGTGACTCTGCATATAGCACGGGGTTAAAACCAGATGAGCACTGTGGTCCTTTGCCACCCAGGCCATTCTGTGATTCCTCCTGTGTATTCCACGGTTTGTGCCGATGACTGGTCCTGCTGCTTCCAGGTGGATGCAGATGGTCCAGGCTGCTCCCCAGCCACGCAGCACTGCTGTGCAGTAATGCTCTCCTCTGCTCTGTTGGCAGGGAACTCGCTGCTGCTGCGTGTCCTGCCTGCCCTATATGAGAAGCAGCCACAGCCGATGGCGCACCGCCTGCCCGAGCTTCTGGCACTGATGGGCCACCTGCAGCCATCCGAGCAGCAGCACCTCCTGCGGCTGCTCCAGCTCATGGCACGGAGGAAAGAGCTCGGGGTAAGGCTGTGAGTGGACGAGCTGCTCGGCGCTGCACCTCCTTCTGGGGGGTTTATCTCTTTCAGATGGCTTGGCTCTGACTGCTGGTGGCTGTCTCAGTTGGAGTCCACAACAGAGCTTTCCTGTGGTTTGCCATAGAGTTTCATTAATTCCATTCTTTAATTCTATTCCAAATTCTCCATCCGGTCATAAAGAACATAAATGTTGTGGTCCAGCAGTCATCGTTTTTATAAACTGGGACTGTCTATTCTACTATTTGGCTCTTCCTCTGTCAGTTGGATTGCAATTCCCATCATTGCACTTCTGTTAGAATTGTATGAACATATCAAGGAAAGCTAGAATGAGTTAGGAACCGATTAAGAGTGAGCTGAAGATTAATTAAGGCACTATGTGTCACGCTCTCAGAATGGCACAACATTCACAGCACATTTGAATAAGACAAAGCTTTGCTAATTTATTAAGTCTATAAAACCTTTCTAAAAGAAGAATCAGCAGTGGTTAATTCCTCCCTCCAAATAGCTGAGGAAGCTTTATCATAACGTGCTGTCACAGATGAAATAGAGCTGCCTTTGGAAGCAAGAGACCAAAGAACCCCATGTGGCCATGGAGGGGCTCTGCTGGAGCCGATGTGTCTGAGGTCACTGTGTGCCACTGCTGCGTCCTGGCTGGGGACACCGGGGCTGCTGCCCCACTGGGACATTGGTATCTGAGCCAAGAGATGCACAAGAGAGGATATGGAACCCAATGCCATGCCATGGGAATTTGGTGGAAGGTCTCACCAGTCTGTTCTGAAATGCATTTATGCACATCCCTCAGTTTCCCTGACCCAGAGGTGTGTTAGTAGACATTTAGTAGCACAGGTATGAAAGAATACTTTAGTAGGAAGTGGAACGTGCTCCGTCCTGCCTGTGAGATGTTTGAAGGTCTAAACCCTTGGCCTCTTGAAAACTGTGTTGTTATAAGCAATGCCAGCTTGCCCGTGGCATTTTCCGTGCAGCAAGGAGCTAGCCTTTATTTTTAGCTCTGTGACCACTGTTAACCTTGTCAGGTTGTTTAGTTCCTGGGGGACACAAAATATTTTTTTTACCAGTACTTTAATTTACTGTATTGTTAGGGATGACTAAGACCTATGCTGTTTTAATCCTGTAAGTATAGAACCTAAAGCAAGAGAAATGTTGGTGAGGGGGTAGAAGGTTTTTTTGGGCCTTTTTTTTCTTAACAATGGAGTATTTTCTTACTTATATATGCATAACTGTAATATTTCAAGGCTACAGCTTACCCTTCTTCCATATGTTGAGCTGAACTTCTGTTGACCTCAGCAAATAGCTATGTGCAGAGGTCAGTGAGGGTGAAAAGCTATTCCACTGAATCAAAGTCTCACGGTCTGCTTTTAGCCCTCCAATGTACAGCGCCTCTTTTTGTTGTGTATATTCACCATTCACAAATACGTCCACAGCTTTCTTCTTTTTTTCTTTTTAAATAGGTGCTGAAAGAATGTATTCTGTGTCTGTTGGGGCTTGTGAGAGACCCCAACCACAGTGACATTATCCTAAACATACTGACAGAAGTATCTGGCTATGACCCAACGGCCTTGGCTGCGTTTCTTCCAGAGCTAAAAGAAATTGGTGAGAGTTTCCCACATTTGATTGGGCAAACAGCGAAGATCTTTGGGGCTGTTGGACGCGTTGATGAGGTAATTAGGAAACTAAAGGGATGGGCTGGTTGGTTCAGCACACGTGTTTTCTTGTTTGTCTGCTTCTTTTGTTAAACCTTATGCTAAATATTCTGGAGTAACCAGAGAGCATCCTACCAGAAATGTCTCCATGGTTTGTAAGGTGGCAGTATGTCTAGAACGTGGTATCATTATTACTAGAGTGTAGTCTCTTTATTACTGCTCCTAATTAACAGTGCATCTGTTCTCTATGTGAATACATTCTATTTCTATCATCTAAAGCTCCTAGTTGATAAATGCACACGGCTGTCGTTATCCCAGCAGCTTAGCTCAGATTGCAGTGTCTACAGTAAGAGAAATGAAAGGCAAAGAAAAGGAAAAGAAATATTTTGCAGCCCCTTGGTATGATATTGAATTTTAAGTGCATATAGCCTTCAGGAATGTTGTAAGCATGTGATGAAATATGAACTTCCTAATATCATGTAATCCAACTATTTTGGATTTGTAGCCAGAGTTAATTGAATACTTCTGACAAATGTCTGTATAATGGAAGTGCCCAGAGGCGGTGCTGGGCTGAACCTCATCTTGGGAACATCTTCACGTTAATTCAGCTTGGGGTTTGACCTTGTGGGAGCTCTGTGCTGTACAGTGATGTACAGTGGCAAACTCCTAAAAGCTGTTTCATGACCTTTAGGACAGAGGTATGAATTTGCAGTGGGCTTCTTGCTTCCATCGTAAGTATGCAGTGCGGAGATGGAATGATGCTCACCAGAGCCACGTGTTGCAAACAGGCTCGGAGTGTGGTCAGCACTGCTGGGCAGCCTGGGCCCAGTGCCTGAACTATTGGGTGTCCCAGGGCACCACGCTGTCCTGGCTTATATCTGACATACCCTGATTTATAATGAGATTCGGGTTTCCATTCCCAGATACAAGCTTACTGTCTTTCCTTGCTAGCAATAGATGTTTTCCTTCTGCCTCAAATCAGTTCTATGAAGGCAAAACTAATGCTCTGAAATCACAGAGTTTTGGCTAAATAAGTCAGGCTTTTATGGCTGTGATAAAACTTGGCTGCCCAGGCAGAAAATGAGTAGTATGTCGTAAGTTGGACCATTTGTGGAGTGTGACACTGAAGCCTGCCACACAGTGACATGGATAATTAATTTCTGCGGAGCTGAATTCCACCAGCCCCTGGACTTTGTGATCCTTGTGCCAAATCAAGGGAGATTTTTCCCCACGTAGGCTGGAGAACACAGTCCTGTGTATATAGACAGGGCTCAGTCCCTCTCTTCGAGGTTTTAAAGGCTCCAAGAGCTGCAGTGGGCCATGTTTATTTCTGCATTCAGCAGAATATTTCATAGAATGGCCTGGGTTGAAAAGGACCACAGTGATCATTGAGTTTCAACCCCTTATTATGTGCAGAGTCACTAACCACCAGACCAGGCTACCCGGAAGAGTACGTCTCTCCTATTTTAATCCATTGCTTGGTGCAGTTGCACGTAGCTTCCCATGGCCAAACCTGCATGGGATAACTGTCTCTGGGCACTGCTGTGCAGATCAGGCACCTTAAAAGTAGGGAAAAAGCCTTTGAGACTGAATTCACTGATCTACTGAGCATCGCTCACTGCAGCACAGGCGCTCAGCCTGCAATTAGGTAAGCAGAAACACATCTGGCATCACGAAAGCTGGACCAGCCTTAAAGGTTCAGCTGATAAAAATGAGTGCACCACAAGAAAGTATTGAAGTTCTACTCTGACTTAAGTGGAACTGTTGTGTTCCAGGCATCCCTGCTGCCAGCTAGCTTACGTAGGTTGGGTCCAGCAGGGTTTGTGAGCAGCAGAGCAGTCCCAGAGGCTGTTCCCTAAGCCAGACACCATGGAAGTGCCTTTTGGAACTCCTCTGCTGCTCCCCTCATCCTGCCCCAGTGCTGGGGCTATGGACGTGAGCCCCCACCTGCAGCCCCTTTCTGGCCAAGCAAAGCGAGTGAGAAATGAAAGGTAATGGTAGGGTTGGAATTTTATTTGTTGATATTTGATTTCACTGGAAGGCTCACTTGGCAAAAAGAAGTGGCAAGGATTGAGGGTTGGCCCTTTAGAGCATAGGCTGCAAACACAAGCAGAGGGTCCAGTGGGCGAAGCTGAAATCAGACCCTGTTCATTGGCTGTAAATTAGTGCAAAGCAAAACCCCACCTCGGGGCACAGCTGGGTATTTCAGATTCATTCCTCCAATAAGTGTGTGTTTTGAGCCAACTGGAAACTGGAGCTCCTTCTGCCTCCCTGTCATCTCTTTGGTAGTCTCCCCAGCCCAGATTTCAGGTACAGCACAGTGCTTGGCCACACCTCACCAAATGGCTTGGATCCTCACCTCCCAGCAGACAGAGTGCCAGAAAACGTGAGAGATATCTGCAATATCTGCAAGACACACAAAATCAGAAAACACCCACAGCTCCCAACAACAACGAGTTCTGTCCAAATGGGCTTTCTGCTTTGGTTTTTTTTTTTTTTGCTTTTTTTTTTGCTTTTTTCTTTTTTTGGATAAAACATTGCGACGGAGATAATGACGGCTTTCATGTCGAGCTGTTTTGCCGTGACTCTGTTTTGTTTAACAGTTACACATGACATGGCTGGCGGGGTTTATTGTTCTTTCAGCTCGCTCCAGGCGAGCAGCAGCGTTGCAGCGGGCTGGAGGAGCTCCAGCTGGTTCAAAGCGACACGGCAACGCTCAGAACTTCTCTTCCAGTTACGTCTGCTGCACAGTTTGTTTAGGAAACAGAAATGTGTTTTAAATGTTAATTGAGCCCGTGTTTATCTCTAGGAGGGAGAAATGTCTTCCAAATAAGTTAGGGAATATTTACTCAACAGCCAGCCTCCTTTGAGCCATTGAGAAAAAGGCTCCGCCGCAGCTCTCAGCCCACCCCACAGTACCTGCACTGGTTCTGCATGGGGCTGAAGGGCTCTTCTGACTGCTGCACCGTTCCTCTGTGCCATGACATAGGGCAGCCATTTGCCTTTAGTTTGGAGCAAGTTGACTTTTTTCACACAACACGTCTCTCACAGCTCTCAGGTGATGTCCTGCCAAAGTCTCCCGTGTGCTTTTATGGGCCTGCTGCGCTTGGAAGCCAACCTTCAGTGGTGTTTTCTCTCCTGTTACATGATTCTAGAGGAATTTGGAGTTTCTTCTGAAATCCAAGGCAATACTGCTCTTGCCCTGCAGCATAGGGAGGTTGCATGTGATGCGCTGCTTCCCCTCCTTACCTGCTAATGCTTGGTAAGATGAGAAGCCTTTATTTTCCTAAAGTGCCTTTGCATGCATTTTGGCACAGGTTCTAATAGCAAAGTTTCTCCCAGTTTCTGTAAGGATCTGCTGGGCTGGAAGCCCCGACCCAAGCCCTGCTGTCCCACTGGAGGATCCAATATGAGCTGCTGAGCTGCTGGCTTCTCCTTCTGCTGCTTCTGCCACTCAGGTGTTTTCAGCACATTGGAACCCAAACTGCTTAGGACAATTATAATAAAACACAGAAACCCCCCATGCATTTCTTTATCTTTAGGGCTTGTGTTTTAGTATGAGAATTTGCACATGTGCACACAAAAATAGTTGGAATTGGATTTGTGTGCACTTGCCAAGCAGAGATAAGGTATCTTTGTTAGAAAATATCTGTGCTTTTTTAGATTAGGATCTGAAATAGCCTCTTTCATCCTAGTTGGCAAGGAATGTGGTCCTGTGGGTAAATTGCTCCACAGAGCTGTGGCTACAAAGGGCATATCAGACTGCAGTGTGTGGCATGACTGATAGGACTGATCTCACCAGTGGTGAGATCTTATGATGAAATCTCATGTTAAACTCCTCTTTGCTGCAGTGTTGGTCTCATCTAAGTGATGCACTGCAGTGCAAGGAGAGCTGCTGTGATACACATATGTGATATACAGGATGCTTGAACTCCTCACCATCAGCCCACGTCTGGGGGGACTGCAGTGGCACCCAGGACACTGCAGTGCTGAGCTTTGCTGGGATCACTGCTAAAGGCTGGTCCTGGGGGCAATGCTACGTGCAGCAGTGGATCCAGAAGGGAAGTCGCAATCAGGAAACATATTTGTGCACTGGAAAAAGAGGTATTGGCTGCTGGCTGTGTGCTCATCACAGCTGGGGGCATGCATGGAGCTGGTTGTAACTGCCTGGTTGCTCTAGAGTGCCTGCAGCTGCAGAGGGCAACGTGGGCAAGGCAGTGACCTGGACACATGTCCATTCATGCAGTGGAACCATAACAAAGACTCCAAGATGGAACCAGCCATGAACTGTGCGGCACAGCCCTGAGCACAGGGTCTGCTCCCCGCTGAGCTGGGGGCACATGAGCACAGCATGTGCCCGCATTTGGCCTCGAGGGGTACCACCCTTCCCTAATGACAGTGCTTTCATTAGCAGCATGCACACATGCCCATGTGTGCCCAACGTGCACACAACCTACCTTGCATGAGCAAACATTGCATTTGTTTGTTTAGAGTTGTTTCTTTTTATCTCCTTGTGTTGTCCAGGAGCAAGCCAGGAAGTGCCTGATGTATTTGGTGAACCAGCTGGCCAACATGGAGCACTCTTTTCACCACATCCTTTTGCTGGAAATTAAGAGTCTCACTGACACGTTCTCTGGCATCTTGGGCACCCAGAGCAGAGACATCTACCGCATGAGCAACAGCTTCACTGCCATAGCCAAGCTCCTGGTCAGGCAGCTGGAGAACAGCAGCTCAGCATCAGCCAGGTAGAGCCGGTGGGTGTGACAGGGCTGTGTGAGCCACTAGGAGCTCCTGGGAGCTGCCATGTTGCTATTTGCAAATTGGTCTCGATTATCCCTTGTGTTTTGTTGTAGTTGATGCACATTCAGCTGTTGGATTGCGTTGGTTATAGGTCTGTGTGCAAGCTCACCCTTACACATAATGGACAGCACCTCTGTCTGTAGAAGCAACTTAAGGCTGTAGGGATGATCCCCAGGTGCCTGCAATGCCAGGTGCTTCTGCACATCACATGGCAGCAGCTGTGTCATTGGCACTGGAGAACAAAGAAGCTGTTCAAGTCTGAGCATTTCCAAAAGCACAGAAAGGAAGCCGTGTCCGCATCAGCAGACATGGGCAATCTGCAAGGCTTCCTTTCAAAATAAACCAGTGAAGTCAGGCTGTGCAACTATCGCTGGGTTTACTGTAGAAGATAACCACTGAGGCTGAGAAGAACAATGGCTGGCACAGCTCTGTGACATGGGTTTACTTAAAGAGCTCTGAGTAAATATCCTGAACTTGTACCCGACTGCTGTAGCAATCAGCTTCTCCAAATCTCTGTCCTAAGATTAAAGCATGGGGAGCAATGCTGTGGTTGTCGCAATAAGGATGTAGGTGTCACTTAGATAGCTGGTAGCAGTCACTTTTAATTAGGGAGAGACTTATCATTGGCATTGTGTACACTGACGTGGGTCAGGAGGGCACAAAGGGGATACTAATGCTGTGATATAAAACATAACAGATGTCAGAAAACTCATAACCATGAAGGACAGCCTTGGAGACAGACGTAGGGCCGGAGCCAAAACATGGAGGTCATCTGAGAAACAACTAATTGGTATCCTGGAGGGTTAGAAATGAGAGAGGAGAGGAGCCCTGCTGGAGCCACTCGTTTTGCAGGGCTGGGAGAAACACGCAAAGCACAAGGATTGTGCCTGCTGCCCAGGACTGGCCATTTGATTTGCAGTAGAAAAATGATGCTATTTGCTAATATGCTGTGGTTTTCCTATGCCTTGTTTAATGTTCTGCATCTATCATTTATCCAAAGCACAGGAAAAGGCTTTTGTTAAAGTGTTACTGTCCCATTTCTCTATAAAACACCCCTTAGTTAAGGACTTGCTTTGCTGAAAAGTAGAAGCTACTTGGTGTGTGCGTGTGTGGATGCAGATGCAAAATACTGCATTGTGTGTGGAGCTGGGGGAGGAGAGGGCAGGGCAGAGCTGTGTCTGCTGTGGAAGGAAATTAAAATACCATTTCAGGCCTCTATCAAGCATAGCATCAGCTAACCCAGACAGGAGCAAGTACTGAGCAGCAAATTCAGGCTAAAATGAGGGACCTCCACTGATTTACAAAGAGCTGCTTCTGATTTGTGCTGATGTTCAGTGGGAACGACCCAGAGGCTGACATGGCAAGCTGTGCTGGCTGCAGTGCTGCTGCCATTTCTGCTGCAGTGCTTCAAGGAGCAGCAATCCAGAGCAGTTGTGCTGTGGAAGGAATATAAAAGTTTTAAAATGTGTGGCTGGATTGCAACCATTCCTTCCAGAATCGTATGTTTACATAAGAAGAAACTTATTTCTTTGGAATGACGGCTCACTTGGAGTTGTTTGACACTGGGAATTTTACATGCATTTAGCAGAGAGTGTAATTAAAACCATGTGATGCTCTACTGCAAGTTGTTCCATCTCAGAGGGGCTTTTGAAGAACACATACAGAGTCTTAACGGGCAGATCCAACCAACAAGTGTAGCACAGTCAATTAAAAGTAGGCAGGAAAAGGTAGGAAGAAAAATTAATGTTTCCAAGCCATCATTCTGGGTAAGGACTGGGGGGTAAGAGATGGCAGCAGTGCTGCTCAGGTTAGCAGCAGCTGGAGGTACCTTTCCTTCCTTGAGCACATGGTGTCGTTTTAGCATTCATTTACTTTTCAGTTGCCTTTCATTTTCTGCCAGGTAATTGGTTTCTGGCAATATTTGGAAGCTCATGATAGCTTCCTCCCCATGAGTGGAGGCAGGTCCTGAGCTGCAGCCTCTCCCTGCCTGCCCATGCCATCCCACCATGCCTTGAAAGCTGTGCATTAATGCATCACAAGGACCTGTGCTCCATCCATCCACACTGCTTCCCTGCAGAGCTGCATCTGGAAGCCATCCCATCCCGCTGTGTTTTCAGTAATTTCTATTTGTGGGCACTCTTCTGCCCACTTGAAGCACAAGATGGGTGATGCTGATATTGGTGACAGTCCAGACAAACGCTCTTTAAATTAATATCTCACTCTTTATTGCTGAGTTAGATGGCTTTCTAAAGTTCTCTAAAGAGAGCCTGACAGCAATGGAACAATGAGGAGCACAACAGCATTGAGTGTTTTGCAAGCAAGGTTCCTTGTGACCCATGATAGGTCTGTGCATCCTTTCCCTCTTGAAACCAGTCCGAGCTTTGGTGTAAGCTGATCCCACTCCAGCAACCTCAGCAATGTACCGAATGCCTTTTGCCAAGATTTCAAACAATAGTTTATTTTACTGTTGCTGCAAGGGGAGGCCGGCAGGAAGGGCTGCCAGCATCCCATTGGGCACAGGGCAGGGGCTTTGCTGCACTCTTCTGAGGCGCTTTTGTCTTCCTGGGTGCTGAGCTGGTATGTGTGAGAGAGCAAGTGGTTGCTGGAGGTCCTGGTATCAGCCAGGTCAGTGCTAAGGTGGGGTGCAAGGTCTGGTGATGAGCTCTGTATTTATTAACATATTGCTTTGTTGATGTCTTTCTTTAGCGGATGCGTTCTCTTTGCGTTTCCTTTGCAAAGCCATCAGGGCTCAACTGGAGAATGCTGGAAAAGAATCATAGAATCATTTGTGAATCATGGAATCACAGAATGGCCTGGGATGAAAAGGACCACAATGATCATCTGGTTCCAACCCTCTGCTATGTGCAGGGTCACCAACCAGCAGCCCAGGCTGCCCAGAGCCACATCCAACCTGGCCTTGAATGCCTGCAGGGATGGGGCATCCACAGCCTCCTTGGCAACCTGTTCCAGTGCCTCACCACCCTCTGGGTGAAAAACTTCCTCCTAATATCCAACCTAAACCTCCCCTGTCTCAGTTGAAGATCATTTCCTCCTGTCCTGTCACTAGAAGAAAGGTGCTGGTATGAAAGTCCACTCTTACTTCCAGCCACCATCAAGGTTTGCTGGCTTGGCTCCATCATTCACAAAGCCATCAGCTCATCCATCCCCACTCGGGGCTTTATATACACACATGTATGTGCAAAAAGCTTGCCTTAGCACTCATCAGCAACAGTGAGAGCAATGTTGAGAGAGCTGCTGGGCTGGCATCTTTCAAATGAACAAAATCTTAGAGTCATAGAATTTGTTGAGTTGGAAGGGACCTTACAAAGTCATCTAATCCAACTCCCAGTCCTGTCCCACGTCTCCAGAAGGATTTCTTAGCAAAGGTCATACTACAGTTCCTTATTAGAATACTTCTTTCAGAAACGCTCTGCAGTGTTAATGTGTTGTTGCCTGAATTAAAAACCAAACAGGACAAAACTTGCTGAGTCCCCCGAGAGGAATCCTGAGCTGCCTTTATCGAGACAAACAGCCCGCTCTGTGATGCAGTGCTCGCAGTTGTTTTCTTCAAATTTGCTTTCTTTCCACAACTGCTGATTTGCAGTGTTTGAGACTTGTTAAGGGGCTTCCCAGCTGTGAGCACGACTTGCTGAGATGCAATTGCTTTGAGGACGGTGTGTTAAAATCCTTGTTTGTGGCTTTTCTATATCTGTGTTTCGCGGATTGCGCCATTGGGATGTTTGCTCCTAAGGTGGAGAAGGAAGCCAAGGGGACCAGAAGCAACACCAGCTTGTTTCAGAACTCCGGGTGGGATTATTGAGAACTTCTCCTGATCCCATTTCTTTCCATGTGTTGAGTTCCAAAACATGTTTTTCTTACTCAGAGTACATTAAGTTAGTACTAACTGCATGTGCTTTTGTCAAATTGTTAAAACCACAGCCCTCTATAAACCCTGCAATTAGCTCTACTTTTGGTTTATGAAAATAATGTAAGAAGTCACTGTTTAGCAAGCTTGGAGGAATGGTTTAAGTTCAGCTGAAAAACTTTTCCCAGTGGGACTATCAGGAAAAGAGGTTTTCTGCTTGTGCAGATACAGCACATGCAGTTTCTAATCCAACGTTGTCAGAGATGTTCAGTATTTCTGATCCATCTGACAGAGATGTTGATCTGGAAGATGTTTCTGAGAATGATTAATCAACCTCTACGTAAATCTCTGCTGAAACAGAATTATTTCCCCAGGCACATGGCGTGGGTCAGCGGTGGAAATGCAGAATCAGCATCATGAGGAGCAAAGTGTGCTGGAGCTAAATCTCTGCTTTCTGCTTCCCCAGGACAGAAAATGATACAGACACGGTATCCCCTGTGCCACTGGGCAATTTAAAATCTGTTGTGAATGGAAATGAAGAAGATGAAAAACTTCAAGAGAAAATACAGGCTTTTGAAGAAAAAATAAATATTGACACCAGTACCCCTGGCTCAGTGAGAAGATACAGCTTAGGCCAGGTTTCTAAAGAAGAAAGGAAGGATATGAGATTTAACAGGTATGGTTCTATTAAATGCACAAGTGGTTTTCAGGAATATCAATTTCGTAATGAAACGTTATCCAAATATTGAGAAATGGTTCTGTGATACCTCTGGGCATTGTAAGGAGTTTGAACCAACTTCATATCCATGAATTTAAAGGTTGGCAAAAAAATTCCAAGTTATTTATTGAATCTGTTCTGCACTCTGAAACAGCAGGGAGGATGGAAAATGTTCGCAGATGACTGTGGAAAGGAAGATACGGACATGCATCAGCTCTGCGCCTGCTTCCAGGCACTTCCCTTCCAGCCTCCTGTTCTAATGGAGACCTTTGTTCTGTGCTGAGTGTAGGTGTGGGTAACGCAGAGCTGCAGGCTGAGTCGTGGTTCAGTTGAATGGCTGTTGGATGGCATCTTTATGACGTGATCAATAAAGCGTACGCTGCAGGGCTGGGGCTATAAGTTTCTCACAGATAGGATGATTGGCTCCTTCTATTTCATGCAGATGTTGTGATATATGTTTAGGACTCAGTTTCATTTGCTTATTAAAACTGGCTTGCATTTGCTTTTGAAATGCGTGTTTGTGGAAGGTATTTCTCTTGGCTAAGCTAGCCTTGTGCTCAACTCTCAGAGCTGGCTGCACAGTGCTAACTCTGAAGAGCAAATGTCCAAAAGAGTCCTTTCTCACTGCTCACCACACTGTGCTCTGCCATACCTCCATTCCAAAGCACTTTTCCCTAATTGCATTCCAGGTCCAAGAGCCTGGCTTTGCATGCAGTCCGCATGAAGGGGGTGAACACAGACAGCGGGCGAGACGAGGAGAATGGGGATGTAACAGCTGGGATCTCCTTCACCGAGATCTACGACAGCCAAGAAAATGACAAGTTGCCTTTCAGTGTCGATGCTGAAGAAATGCAACTGGGAAATTCCTTGGTTTCACACCAGAGTATCGATTGCACAGAATCAGAAGGTTCTCCAGCACCTGCTGGAGGAGAGGCCCAGGAAGGAAGCGTGGTGCTGGGGAAGGGTCCTGCGGAGTGCCACGACAAGCTCTACCTGCACTTGAAGGAAAACCTGGGTAAAGTGAAAGCATACGTCATGGAGATGGGGAGGAGGATTCCCGTCCCTGACCACTGTGTTATTGAAGGTAAGAGGTCTGAGCCTTTCTGGTTACAGCAGCTTTAACACAAGAGTTATTGCAGGACCTGGGCAAATGGGCAGCAAATGCAACAGGAGCAGGGCTGCACTGGAACAGGTTGCCCAGAGAGGTTGTGGATGTTCCATCCCTGGAAGCACGCAAGGCCAGGCTGGATGGGGCTGGGAGCAACCTGGTCTACTGAGAGGCATCCCTATAGCAGGGGTCAGAACTCGATGATCTAAAAGGTCCCTTCCAACCCAAACCATTCTATGATCCAGTGAGAAGCACACACCTGAACAAGCTTATGGGCTGTGACAACACAAGCTGCGGAGCTGGGCCACCACGTTCCTCAAAAAATGCTGCTTGAAAGCAACTGCATAAGGTCCTGGTGCTCCAGTTTAGGCTGGATCCTACTTCACCACACCCCTTTAATGATTCCTGCTTTCATCAAGGGAGGATATTTGTCTTGAAGTGTGAGAGAGCTGCTTTTGTGAGGCCCATGGAGGTGGGGCTGGATTGCAGTGTGCTGCCAAACACATCCTTGATGCTCCTTGAAGGAAAATGATGGAGGTTGGGCTGTAAGCCTCCTGCTCGCACTGAGCAGCTGTTGGTTACCGGGACACAAGGAGATGTGTGCATCAAACCACCTGCTGCTGCCTGTGAGTACTTTGCATTCCAGCCCTTCATGGCTTGTGTTGATTACAGAGAGTAACTCAAATTAATTTCAAGTCTCTTACATCAACCCAGATTTTAATTTCCATCAGATATCTCTCTGCCTGTTTGCTCACTTTTTTTATGGTCAGTGAGTTAACAAGTCTCCACTCATAAAAGAGACATAACTATTTATTAAAAAAGCTCATATTTCTGCAGGAATTTCTAAAGAAGGACAAAAATGTCAGGTCTGCTATTTGAAATTGTTATTATTATTGATGAAACTTTTGTTTCATAGAGTCACAATGGAAACATGTGAGGGAGCAATCTGGCTGGATGTGCTGCAATCTTGTGTTAATCAATATTTTTAAATACATTGCTCCATTTGCTTTCTGAAGTACCTATTATGATATGTTCTGAGCATGTGACTATTTCAAAATTCATTCCAACTATTGTAATTTCCTGGAAATCCACATCTAGCATTCTTGGGGAAATTCCTTGAGCAGGGGCACATGTGCAGAACAGGAGATTTATGTGACTCATTCCAAATATGCTCAAAGAAATGTCTGCCTCCTTACACGGGGGACAGCTTTGTTCATATTTCAGATATTACAAAAACCACTCCATCAAAAACCTGGCAGCTGATGGGCTTATACGATCCCTGCACACTATAAAGGCTCATTCAAACTTACCTGCTTCACTTTCTAAGTAAAATGTTTAGAAAATATTAACGTGTTTCTAAACGCACACAGTTGGCCATGTGGGAACTTGTTGAATTGGAAATGTAGGATATCAAAGAGAGAAAATGCACAGTATAGGCAGTTCAGAGCAGTCATAATTAACGACAGGCCAAGTGCTGTTCACTTCAGCAGGATTCAGAACCATGCTTGTGCTTCTAGTGCAGGAGGTGTCCAACCTGTCTGCTGAGTTCTTCAGCTCTCAACCCAGATGCCATCCCCCAAAGCATTGCCTGGGCATGCTGCCTTGGGCAGGAGACACTTGTGTGCTTTTGGAAAGGCACAGGATTGGTGTTTGGAGCCCCTGCCAGGTATGGGACACCAGTACCAAGGGCATCGCTTCCAAGAATTGGAAGATATTGAAGATTTTCCAGATGTGGTGCAACTGAACGTTCTCTGCGGGCTGGAAAGCAAACGGAGCAAAGAAGAATTATGAAGAAATACAGATATGTCATGATGACATCGTTAAGTGATTGTCTACACTGATTACAGTCTGAATCCTGAATGACAAAGCAGACCTGTGGGAGGAGTGCGAGGATCATCAGAGCCCCTAAATGCAGGAGACTGAACTGACCTGGGACTGCACAGTCCAGAAAGAGCCAGCTGGCAGGGCTCTGTAAATCAGAGATGACAGAAGATTCGCTGGGAGTGGTGGCTCACTGTCTGTCCTGTTATGCATATGGGAGAAGATGTAATGAAGTTGTCAGGAAGCAAACTCAACACATGCAAAATAGGAGCCTCTCACCACGTAATTTGCCGCATGTAATTTCATGGCAGAACTGATTGCTACAGTGCATTAATTATACTGAAAATTATACTGTACCTGCTTTCACAAGTGATTAGGTAAATTCCAGGCTGAGAGCCTTTCAGCCAGGCAAATATCTGCCTTAAAAGAGCAGAGACCAGGGAGACCCAATGCATCATCCAGTTCTTGGGCACTGAAGCTGAATTCAATGAACAGCATCTCAGCCCCTCAGTATCATGCTCTGCTCCTGGTCCCGTGATGCTCTGCCATGGGCACACATGTTCTGTGGCTTAGAGACAGAGTGCTGATAAAGGAGGAGGTGGCAGAGAAGCAGGTTGCAGCTGTCCTGAATCTGGTTGTTGTTAAGCACTCCGTTGTGCCGAGGGGTAATTGGTACCATACAGAGGAGGTGATGGAAAAGCTCACAGCTCCCCTGCAGCGCTCACCTCCGCCGCAGCCCGGTGCTTCTGCACTGATTGGAAGCAGCTGCGGCCCTGGTGGGGCCATGGAGCATTGGGTGCTGCCAGGGCTCTCCTCTGCTGTACCAGGGATATACCAGTGGGGATTTTATCCCACAGAGCTGCTATGAGTGCTTGGATTTGACCCAAAGGCACAGGATGGTCCTTGTGCTCACGGGATCTGCAGAGATGTCCCCAGGGCAGGGGGCAGTTCAGCAGGAAGGTGGATGTGCTCATGGCCACATGGACCTCTCCAGACGCCATTTATCTGGAGGTAGCAGCCTCCCACTGCGGTTTGCTATTCTATACTGCAGAAGCCAGGGGCCATGGCATAGGAGTGGCACCATCTTGGCCTCATGCAGCGGTGAGCAGCCCTCGGTGCTGGTGCTGAGTAGAGGGACACCCTCCCAGGTGCATCATAACCCCGGCAGTGAAGGGCGAAGGAAGGCAGGCTAGGTTAGGTTAGGAAGGCAGAGAACAGTAATGAAGTTGAGCCAATCTGTGTGCTCCCAAACATGGCCTTTTCCACTCAGATTTGAGCTCTGTTCTGATGGTGCTGCAGGGGCCGCCCAGTGCCCGTCAGCATCATGCCATCTGTGTGACAACATGCGTGCCCTGCACTGAGCCATGTGCATGCATGGCTGGTGGTGCTCCAGGAGGTGATCATTTCCTGAAGCTGACTGCTCCAATCGTTACCCTTTTCTCCTACAGTTATTCTCTGCATCCCTATCTTTGACCCAAACTGAAGGGAAACTGAGGAAATGGTTGAAAACCGCCGTTATAAAAGTCATATTCATTTCCTCTTCTCCAGCTTTGTCTCTATGGGTGGGTTTGATTCCAGATGGGAAGCTGATAAGCATACCTCCTCTCCTATTAACAGGCTTCACTTAATAGTACAGGATTACCACTGTAACTCAAATAATGCATGGATTGTTCCCAGGCAGTGGGTTACCTACGTGTACCTAGAAAGCTGGAGCAGCTCTGCTGACACACACTCGTGCTCACATTCATTAACCTGGGCACTGTGTGCACCAGAGCCATCCCCAGGCATGGCAGTGCCCAGCTAGGGGCAGCTATACCTCTGGTATGCGTCTGACTTTCATATTCTTTCTACTTACTTTCAGATACCATGAGAAGCTGTGTAGCAAAGCTGTTCTTCAGCTGTCCCCTGAAGGGCCACTACTGCCTCTACAGCAAATCCAGCTTCACACTGCTCAGCCATCAGCCTCCACTGTGGATCCACATCATGTTCCTCTTCCAGCAGGTGTGTGCAGGGCAATGGTGGGGCATATCTCTGATGTTGTGCTTGGAACAATGTTTTAGGGGTTAATCTGTCGGAATGCACTCCTAACCAGCTGGGTGAGCTTTTGTGACTCGAGTGATTGCTCACCTCTGAGGTTACATCATGGCAGATTGAGGTGGTTTTGCAGTTTGTAAGGATTTCTCTTAATTAGTACACTGTTCAAGATGAACTTATTGTAAAACAACTGGGTCCTAAATTGTTTTTTAACCTAAATAGATTTGATCATTGTCATTCACCCTACCCTACTGCACCCTTCGAAATGCAAAGTGTTTATCCGGAATGTGGAGCTGATACACAGTGGGTTATGCTGTGAAGGTCAGGTCACTCCTCCCTCTGTTCCTAGAAATGAGTATAGAAATGGTTGGAAAAAACAATAATGCAGTATGGCTGTGATGCCTAGGTCACAATTTCTGCAGATGTCCACACTGGTCACCGTGTTTCTGTTCACTGACTGCTGCTCACTCTATGTTCTCTTGGACTCCGCAGCAGTAGAAGCAAGAAATACTTTTTCTCTATGGTCTCCAGAGCAGACCCTCAATTTCAAGGCTCTGCTTTTTATTGAATTTCAGAAATTTTAATGGGTAGCTGTCTCGTGTTTCAAACATCTCAGATGGAAGTTGTGAAACTCATGTACTGCTGTTTTCTTGGCTGGGCAGCTCTCGCTCAGAAGGAAGGCAGCACATTTCAGTGCAGAGCTGACTGTCAGGCAGAAGAGTGATAATTAACAAGAGGAAGAAAATGAGAATATGGGTACCTGACACAGGAGGTGCTCTTGGATTCGGTCATTAAAATCATGCTGTACCACCATAAGACTCGGGGTTGGTTTCCCCCATTGGTGTGCAGTGCCCAGCACTCCCCCTCAGTTGGTCTAAGCCCCAGCTAACAGGCTGCAGGCTCCTCATGCCCGGCGGCAGCCCCAGGCACTTTGTTTCTCAGCTCTAATTCAGGCAGAGCAATCCAGCTGGGTTGCACGTGTTGTGCAATCCAGCATTAGAAGTACGGAACATCGGATTTGCTTGTGTGCTCTTAACTTGGCTCCAGCATGCAAATGCATTTTCTATTTACAAGATCATGTTGTAGATATAGTAGAGGAATAATGCTAAGCTCTCTCAGCCACTCTTTTAATATTGGCTTTGTATGCAGTTCATATGGTGAAGAACCTACCAGCACTGCAACAGTAGAGTATTTCAAGGCAGTTGGTTGCATCCCAGACCATTGGGGCAGGAGGTCTTGGAGGTGACAGCCCTTTCAGCTCAGTGCAAAGCCCCAGGAGCAGGTGAAACCTGTAGGCATTCATCTAACATTGTGCATGTACATCCATCATCACTCCTGAAAGAGAAATGAACTAGTTGCTTGTTACCTGCATGGCTGCCGTGGTATGAAAAGGAACAAGATGCTCTTGGTTAATGGCTGAGCCAAAAATGCTCCAAATGCACTTTCCAACGTTTTTTTTTTCAGAGCCTGTTTGCTGAACCTTTGTCAATGCAGAGTAGTTCAGTGCAAGTCCTCAAGGCCCTATGGGAGAAGACACAGCTCAAGGGGACACACAGTTTTGAAACTGCCATGATCCAGTCTACATTCCCACACCAAAAGGTAAGTATGCTTTTCCTCTGAGAGAAAAAAGAAGAACTTTTAAAATAGCTGTAACAAGTGTTTGCTGTGCTCTCATTGTGAAAAACAGGCCCTTTTCCCTTCCTTCTTCCCTTCCCATCCATCAGAAGTTCTGCAGATTAGGAAGTCCAGGGAGGCGGTGGAGTCACCATCCCTGGAGGCGTTGAAGGGACGTATAGATGTTGTACCGAGGGACATGGTTTAGTGGGAAATATTGTGATGGATGGATGGTGGATGGTTGGACTGGATGATCTTAGAGCTCTTTTCCAGCCTCGGTCATCCTATGATTCTAAGTCTGCTTCTGAGTCACGCAGCCGCTGGGAAATTTGCCTCCTTAAGCACAGACTTGACTGTTATGAAAATGATCATTTGCACACTCACCATTGCTTGCTCCCACCAGTTAAAAAGATTACTCTTTCAAAGCTGTTTACTGTCTCTAGGATTTCAGAGAATGCCATTTCAAAGCTGTTAATCGGGCTTCTTGGAAAAGGACGCTATAGGATTGTGAAACAAATATCTGTTCATCCCCGAACATCTCCATCCAGCGGAATGGGATGCAATGAACTGTCAAACACGGTTTTAAAACACTGTCTCTCAGGACATTGGAGGCATAAACATGTTTGGCTGGATAAGATTAATTTACAACAGTTGTGGGCAGTTTAAAAACAGGAGTTTTATTAGAGACAGCTTCTGAACCCCCAAGCTTGCATTGGACAGAGCAGGGAGCTGCTGCCGCAGTGTGAGAGCAGTGGCCCACAGCTTATGGGCCACTGGACATAGGCTCGGCAGAGTCCCCATCCAGCCTGTTATCTGCATGGAAATCCCAGCTGGAGTCATCCAGAGGCATTAGGGATGTCTCTATTTGCACAGTGCTGTTTAACTTGGATCCTTGTCGTTGGTCAGGTCAGAACTGGTGGAGCACAGAAGGGTTTGGGGTGAATAAAGGGTTTGGAAAAGAGCGTGCTTTCATGAGGCTTAGATACAGTGCCCTGTGTGTTCCCATTCTGAAAAATGCCTCGAAATGTCATCAGTCCCCAGCGCGCTGGTTGCACAATCCTGCTGCTCTCAGAGAGGCATTCAGCCTGTTTGGGGAACTCCTGGCACTGCCCAACAGGAAGAGCATCTCCCAGTTCCTGAAGTAGTGGGGCTGAAAAATGAGATGCTGATCACTTGTGACGGAATGGATGGGCAGAGGGAGCTCCAGGAGATGCTGGTTATGGGAAGAGCTCCGGAGGCCAAGGACTGTTGGACTGATGTGATGCACCTGAAGGGGAATGGCTTCGGCGGTGCTCCCCGCAGCGTGCTGCTGCAACTACTTCCTCCATTTTTGTTTTGCATGTAATGTAGAATCTGAATTTGGGTTCCGTGATGTTTCTGTTGAGCAACTGTGTGAAGTTTGATGGAGCTCTCATGGACGGGGACCTGGGCCTGCTGGGTGGAAGGAGGGTTCCTTTACCTTTATCTGCCAAAACCTGATGGGAACACTCATGGTGTGACCCAGCCATCGCTCTGCCCAGCAGGCTGTGCTTCCCAAAAACCTAATGCTTTGGTGTCCAAAGTCTTCCTGTCACCAATGGACTCCAAAATAGCGAATGATTTGACAAAACAATTGCTGCTATTAATCCCGCTCCTCTTCTAATAGCACAGAAAGCAGATTTCTGGATGCTTTCCTTTAAAATGTTTTGAAATCTCTTGATGACGTTTGGAATACGCTGAGAATGAACACCGTGTTCTCTACCCAAGTCTACCCACCCCGTGTTACAGCACTGTTCGAATGGCTGTGCCAGAACTGGGGATGCTGCTGGTGATGTGGGAGCACGCAGGGAACACTGCAGGCTGGCAGCCAGCAGGCACCCAGCAAAGCCAATGCTGTGACCTCTGCTCCACTATAAATCAATGCAGACGTTTCCTTGATGCGTGTTCGAAAGAGTGTTGCAAACCAGCAGGAAAAGCTATTGCACCAGTGATTTATCCCAAAGTAAATTCTGAGCAGTATTTCCAGCTTCACCTCGCTGTCGGAATTCAGAACTGGGCCAACCAGTGTGTGCAAGGAATTGCAGCAGATGCCTTGCAGTGAGAATGCCCGTATTGCTGGGCAGTGCTGTCCCAAAAGCCAAATGGACAACGGGATCGTGCCACAAAAAATATTGATTCAACACAGCTCAAAACGTGCCGGGAGTAAAGTGCTTCCAGATGTGCATCCCTACAGATCTCCATTCCGCTGCCTCTCTGCTCTCTACCCAGGAGTACGAAGGCTGTGCTGGTTGCAGCTGTGCAGAGTGTGTTGTGTTGCATCGTGGTGTGTCAGAGCAGACATTTGGTTCCCTCTGAGTGCCTCTTGCTGAGCAGCTTTGCAGGGGAATAATTCACATTTTTAAGCCACTGTTGGCTCTGTCCTTCTCTGCTCTTTGTCTGCCTTCTCCCTCTGTGCAGCAGAATGAGGTGCTGCGTTCTCACAGTGCGGTCACTGACGTTTCCCAGATGATGGAGGGCAGGATGAGATGCATCTCTCCTCTCCAGTGAGTCATTTTCCCCATGCTTCATCTCCCAGAATCAGCTCCTTGTTTTGGCATACAAGGAATACAGAGTGAAAAAGGACAACGGCTGCCTCAGTATTTCCCCAACATTTGCCTTTCACATGGCTCATTGAAGACGTTGGAAGGTTTCCCTCAGGATCCCAGGCTTGTTGTTCAGCTCCATCCTCACAGTGCCCTGCACAGACCCACTGGGAGCAGTGCCCCATGTGCTTTGTCCACCTCACAGCCCCCAGGTGGGTGGGAGGATGGTAGGGGAGGCTGTGCACCTCTCCCATTGCACAGCACAGCAGCCAGACACGCTCCTGAGCTGCATGCAGTTCCTCTTCAGGGGGCAGTAAGCACCTCAGCAATGCAGACAGAGCAATGCAACCACATTGTGCTGTGATGTGCAGTGCCCTGGGGCAGGGCACACAGCCCTTCCTGCCCCAGCAGATAGAAAAGGTGAGAATAGCACAGCTCCCCTTTGCTCAGTGGGGTGAGCCCATATCCCTGGCAGCACAGGGTTTTGTTCCCATCTACTGCATGAATTCTTGTTTTCTTTGGGCTGTGCTGCAGACTGGTGATGCTCCTGAGGAAACAAGCAGGAATGTTTTCTGAGCCTTCCTGCCTGCTCCTTCTGCACAGAGAGCATTGTGGTGGTTGTTATCTGACGTCCATTTAAATGTGAGGTCATCATCTTTATAAAAATTAAATGGTGGGCTTTAAATGACAACAAATTACACCATGTTTTAATGGCCTCAGACAGAGCATCTCCTGGCTCCTTCTGGAGCTGCAGCTGAGCTTTCTGCAGGCCTTTCATAGAGTCAGGCATCACCTTGGCTTTTTGGCCCAGCCCTCACTTTGCTGCCTGCTCTCAGTGGAAGGATAGCATCACATGTACCAGGATGTGTTTTGTGCAGGATAAATCCATCCTGTTGTTGCTTCATTTCTGGAAACATTCACATTGACATTTTAAAATGTTATTATTATAGTGCTTCTTGTATGGGGCGTGGGTTCAGAACTTTCTTCCTTATAAACAACAACAACAACAAAAAGAGAACAGAAAAAGGTTAAGAGCAGCCACTCCCTCTGGTTGCACTGGGAACCCATGGACAGATCTGACCTGTCAGACAGGAGGTCCCCAGCATGTGGAACCACTGCCCTGGGGGTCCTGGAGAACACTGAGGGCTGGAGGAAAGAAGGAGCTCAGCTGTGGGCTCTGGTGGAAGGGAGGTGGAAAGCACTCAGCCCCACAATTTGCTTCTAGAGAGCTGTTGCAGTGGGTGCTGCCAATGGCAGAGAGAGATGTCCTGCTCAGCAATTTACCTGGGCAGGCTGTTTTTCAGCATGAGACCAGTGAGAGAGGGCACTTGTCAGCTCCTGCTGTGATGCAGGGTCCTGAAGCATAAGGGGGTTTGGTTTCTCTTCCTTATTGGCCCAGGATCTGGACCACGTGCAGATGCACCTGGAAGAAGTGAGGTTCTTTGATTTATTTGGCTACAGCGAGGAAGCGGGAGCCTGGCAGTGCTTCATGTGCAACAACCCTGAGAAGGCAACAGGTGAGTGCTCTGCTGGCGGGCTGCAGTCAGGGGTGCATAGCAGTGTGGTTCTGCACTGTGCAGGAGTTCTGGTGGTGGTGGTGGTTGTGCAAAAGCAAAGCTAGCTTTCCAGAGTAGCAGAGATGCTGTCTGCTTCCATTGGAACTCTCCATGAAACTCATCTCAGCGTTCCTGGTGAGATTTGGAATGTAAACCTACAGCTGTGCACGATTGCTAATGCGTGGGGAGGGGTCTGTGCCCATCCTGCAGCACACAGGTAATGGGGCTGCCTCTGCCTGGCTGCATCCCATTTGCCATCCCTTAGGGGCCATCAGCACTGATATTGCACCTGACCTCTGTCCTCTGTCAGGGCATCCCAGGGATGTTGTCCAGGGACTCCACTTCCTTTAACATCATTGTGTCTGTAGGGCACATCTTCAGAGCAAGGCAGCACTTAGGAACAGCCTTGATACTTCAACTACGTTAGAAAATAAGGTGAGGAGAAAATGAACTTCGTCCCAGGTAAAAGATTCTGGTTCAGGATGGCTTTTTCTTGGGCAATTTTGCCACAAGTTGACTGCAAGCACAATTCTGGCTGAGAACTATGAATAATTTGGCCGAGCATTTGAATAGCTTGCTGATTCAGCTATCTGCTTGAGCAGCTGCCCTCATTCCATGGGGCATTTCCCACTCTTCCTCCTTCTGTAGCTCTCATATGGGACTCATCTACTGCAGGAGAAGTCATGCTCTGAGCTGTAAGTCAGTCCAGTGGCCTTGCTGTGCTTTGTCCATCACATCAGAATGAGATGGATGTCAAGCCATGAGGAAAATGAGCCCATCTTGTTTAAAACACCAAATCTCATTGGAGCTCACTCCTCAGTTTTTAATGCCCTGAGAAGTCCAAGTGAATGAAACTGCTTAGTGGTAATACAGCTCAGCTGCACGAGAGGGAGGAAGATAGTGCTTAGTGGATGAAAACCTGCAGGTAAACGTTCCTGAAATGGGGGTGTGGAGCTATGGGAAGAGTGATACCAGAGTGGGAGACACTCGGGGCTCATTGGGGGGTTATAAGGCAGAAGAAAGGGCTCCAAGGTCTCCTGGAGTAGGAGAGAAATGTAAAGGCTGCAACACATTTTTTATCCTGTTCCACAGTGGGACAGAGCCTTTGGAAATCCCAAGTACTTTTGAAAGACAAGAAAGTCATTCCTCCCTCTCAGCAATGCTGTTTAGCAACCCGGTCCTTCAAGAAGGAATTCAGAAGCAAATTCTTTTTCCATTATTTTCATTTGTTTTCTGCTAATGTTGGGTTTTTGTCACATTTTTTTGATACCGTGTTGCAAGATGCCATTTATCCTGGGGACTTAGGGAAGGATTATGCCCTGAAGCCTGGATCTTGCTGTGCTCTGTGGTGCTGTTTGCAGATGCAGTTGTGCTTCAGCAATGCAGTGGGTGAACCCAACGCAGCAATCAGCGCAGAGAAAGTTTGACCATTTCACATGCATTCTTCTCACTTGAAAGCATTACTTAGACAACCACACTCTTCCAGAAGTGCTGCTAAATCATCCTGAGTTGTTTTGCTCCTGCTCCCCCCGAGCCAAGGAGGGAGAGAGCATTCCTGTAAGCCCGACTCATCTGCCCACATCCACGCACGCTGCCTCTGCTGCTGGTCCCAGAGCTGGGAAGACCAAACTGCACCATTTTCTATTTTTGTTTTTTTTTTTAATAACAATAACCATTCAAGTGTGGATGTAAGGCTTTAGAAGCGTTAGTCAGCACTGCGTGCCTCTCGTTGGGAAAAGCTGGCTTTTAGGAGCTGCGTTTCAACATAACCTCCCGCGCTGACAGTTGGCTCGCAAGCCTTTGCACACCAAAAATTCAGTAAAACCACTTGATAGCCTGCGAGGGAATTGCAGTGCATGCCTTGTTCTGGAAGCTTACAAAGAAATCGCAGTAATCCCCGTGGGCTGCAGAGGAGACATCGTGCCCATGGGCAATGATTCGGGTAAAACGGAGGGCTTTTTATGAATTCCTCCTTCAAAAAGCAATTCGCTCAGAAGAGCCCACGCCGTGTTAACTTGGGGATGCATTTATCTTTTGCTAGCAGTGGTGATTATCTGGTGAACCGAAATATCCCCGCTGTAATGCTTGCTTGAAAATCATAAAAAGTGGCATTCAGCAACGTGTCCTTTCCAGGTTTTCAACAGAACCAAATGCGATGATTAATGAAGGAGAGCCAATCCATATTCCCTTAGGTTAATTGCATTTATCTTCTGCCTGCCACCCACACATTCCATTCTTTCAAGTTAAGAGGGGCTTATTATCATTGAGATCATTCATGATGGGACTGAATTTTTGTGGATGGCTTCGTCTCATCAAACAGAAGATTTAATGCTTTGCTTTTTTCTTGAGTTCATCTTGGAAGGGTGTCAGGTTTTGTTTTGTTTTTGTTACTTTTGTTCAGTACCCAAACAACTCAGAGCTTGGCGCATTGTAATTCTGCAAAGAAAACAAGATACAGGCAATACAAAATAATTCCAGCTTACATCATGGTGGACACTTACATCAGTGGGAATTACTTGGGGTTGAATTGATTTTGGAGTTAGTCTTCCTCCACTGCAATTGTTTAAAAAGCAAAGGATATTATGTAGGAAAAAAAACATCGTTTTTATTTTTAGGGTACTATTTAGTATAGACCCGGTCCAATAATGCTCAGGTGGAGAAAATCTCTCCCCTTTGATCAGTATCACACCAGCATACTTCTCTAAAGATGCCTAAATCTGTTCTTCAAAAGTAAGTGAAGGACAACTCAGGAGTTGTTGCTTAGGTAAATCGACCTCCTGCTAAAATGTGGGATTATTTCTGCCTTGTTGCTGAGCTCTGGATCTCAAGGTGCCCTTTCCTGTTCTGAGGAAAATTGCTCCATGTAGACTTTATCACGTCACATCTAGATCTGTGCTTGAGAAACTGGAGAGAATGCACTTCCTCAGTTTCCCATGACATGAATGGTCAGATAGCAGATCAGCCATTTTTGTATCGTTCTGGAGCCTTCTCAAGTTTGCCTAGAGCTGAGCAGATCAAAACTGGACACGATATTCCGGTGGTTAGTATGTGTATAAAGTGCACGTTCCACCTGCCAGCTGATGGCACTTTTTTGATCCTTCTAACCGCATTAAAAATGCGGATGCTTCTTCCACATAACGATGCTCTGTGTGGTAAGCCATGGGTCAGCAGGAACTGAGTTTGGTTCTGGCAAGAGTTCACAGTGAATCTCTGCCTTCGTGGGGCAGTGTGGGTCCACTCCCGATGCCCTGTGCCTGCAGGGCCCCATGCATGGATTCCTACTTTGCACACACCGTGCATTCAATGGTGGCCAAGTAAAATCCCAGCAAGGACTGGGGTGGGCAGCCCTGGGAGCTTTGGGGAAGTTCAGATCAGCTGCAAAGGGAAGTTTTCCCACTGCAGGGATGGTCAGTCATTGGGGCAGCTTGACTGGAGGTGTCGCTGAGATTTTCACATCCCAGATCATTAAATCTTTGAGCAACCTGGCCTGACCCCAGAGCCAACCTTGCTCTGAGCAGGAGGTGGGATGACCAACCCCTCGAGCTCCCTTCCAGCTGAATTATTCTGCCTCTCTGTGAAGTTAACTGCAATCAAAACAAGCAAAAGGACTTAGAAAAAAAGATTGGAAAAGAACTTCATTCTTATCTTTCATGAATCTTTTTCTTCTAATCAGACCCTCAGACATACTGGCATCTGCTTCATTATCACAACTTTGGAAGCTGACATCAGAATTCCCCATGGACCTCTTAGTGGATGTAGGCGAGAAGCGCTCTGTTATCATTGGTTCCAGCCCCGAGTGCTTAAAGACAGACCAGCATTTCTCCAGTAAATCCTGTTTGTGAAAGACTTTGGCCTTGAAAATCCAGTTTAGGCCAAAATTGCACGTTAACTTCCTTTCCCATGTTGCTTTCCTGACCACCAACCATCTCAGTGCCCAAATGTTTTGTGCCTTAAAGCTTCTTAGTTTGGCTTAAAACATGTTCCTACTGCCCTGGAATCAGTACTGCTTCACAAAGCCTAAGTTGCTGATTGAGCAACTGATTGAGCAACTGTCTTTCCATATCAAATCTTTCTATAGCTCCATCCAGATGACATCAAGGTCTGAAAGTTACTGTGCACGTAATGAGTCATTTAGAGTGTTCATTCAGAAAAAAGATTCTTTCCACCAAGAGGCTGCTCACGTGAATGGCAAATGATGGGAATGATGGAGGTGTGGGGCTGTGAGGAGTGCAGAATGACCTCTCTTTATCACAGCAATCACAGGCACGGTTCCCTATTGTGGCTAAAACTTGGCCACCCCATTTCCATTCAGTGTATCTCCTTCCAGAGACGGAAATATTTACAGTCTTTCATGAGGAAATTGAAGCAGTACACACTGAAGACCCCCAAAGCGTGTGTTACTGCCAATGTAAACAGCGCTGGGGAAAAAAACCACATTCCTGATCTAAACCTGCTGCATCTGTCACCGCCTTCTGCCCCAGCTGTAGGAGCACCACAGTGCAGCTGGGGGGAGCAGAAGCTGTTGTGTCTCCCTCTCTTCCTCCTCGCTGACCTGGGCAGATCTTTCAGTTAACACACGCTCCATACCGATGGCATTCACCCATGCATTGCACAAGTGCTGGTTTTGCTGTTGCCACCCAGGGAAGCAGAAAGACGGTGGTGTTGGTTGATGATAAGTAAGTGAATTTTGCTGCAAAAGGCCCAGGGGAGGTTTAGGTTGGATATCAGGGAAAACCACTTTACAGAAAGGGTTGTTATGCAATGGGCTGCCCAGGGAGGTGGTTGAGTCACCACCCCTGGATGTGCTTAAAAACCGCTTGG